CTCCGTATCTAGCGCAGAAAGACTCCAGGCTTTGTCCACTCACATGGCTGGCCGGAGGCAGAACTGAGACCCAAATTCAGGCCATCTGATCCCGCAGTCTGAGCTGCTTTCTCCAGGCTGCTTTGTTAGAAATGCACACTGCTGTTTTAAGTCAGTTTCCAAGGAAACGGCATCCCTGCCCTGTTTCAGGCCGGGCACAGTCTCCTCCCGTGCAGGCTCCGGCAGGTCCGGCACCAGCACCTCCACGCCTGGAGGGCACCGGCCCCCAGCCACGCGGGTGGCCCGTCCTCCCCGAGATCCGTGCCCAGCACGCTGTGCCGAGTCTGCTGCGGGACTCAGGCGCGGCTGGTCGTTGCACGCAGCCCTCGCCTCGGGCCTGTCTGTTAGCAGCCACCCTCCAGGCCTGGTCACCAAGCAGCCACCCCCTCCCGCCTGCCTTCTTCCCCAGAGAGAGATGGCCGCCTGCTCTCCACTCAGTGGCCCGTCTCCTAACGGCGTCTCCCTTCCCCAGCGTCTGACAGGCAAAACTGTCAGATATAATATGATATAATACCGAGATAAAATAACAGGGCAGCGGTGTGAACACCCTCGGGCCAGAGACAAAATAAAACGCGGGGTGATGACAGTCCCAGGGAGGCGGAAAGATGGCTCTTACGGCAGGGCTGCCTTCCTCGGACGGCGAGGCCGAGGTCAGGGGGGCGGCAGGGCCACGCGTGAGCGGTGTCCTGCTGCTTCGCAAATGACCTCTGCGCTGAGATCTGGTGAGCGGACTGCACGCCTGGAATTACAGAAGACTGCGCTCCAGCTCTCCGGGGCTGAAGGCAAGTCCGTGTCTGCACTGAGAGGCCTCCTCGGAGAGGCCTGCCACAATTAACTCTGGCAGGAGCAGAGATAAATCAAAATGTGGAAGCTACCACGTGATCCTGTGCTAAGGAAACGCTGCAGAAATTGGCCCCGGGTGTATTCTAGAGACAAAAGTTTTACAACATGTTCAGGTTCTCTCTCTCTCTCTCTCGCTCGCTCGCTCTCTCTCCCTCTCTCTTTCTTTCCTTCCTTCTTATTAGCCTTTTAAACATTTAAATAAAATAACCACAGCATAAGATTTACCAGTCTTGTTTTCTTTCCTTATGCAGCCCAGGCTGACCTCAAATTCATGGTGATCTTCCTGCCTCAGCCTTCTGATGCTGGGATTTAGGCCTGCTGCACCCTACCTGCTTGTACAATTGACCATTTGAATCACTTTTTAAGAACATGCAACTCAGTGGCACTGCACCCCCATTCTTGTGCAGCCACCCCCACCGTTCATTCTTAGAGCATTCTCATCCCCCCAAACAGAAGCTCTGCCTCCAGGAAGCCAACGTCTCCCACTGCCCCCTTCCAGCCACCAGCGTCCCTCCCCATTTTGCTTGCTGTCACCAAGAGTCTGACTTCCCAAGTGCGTCACTGGCCCGCTCTGACTGCCACAGCCACTCAGCTTGATGTCCCAAGGCTCCCGCACATGGTAGTACATGCAAAGTCCCTTCGCCTCGAAGGTTGGGTCCTGTTTTTTTGGGTTTTTTTTCATTTATGTATTTGGTACAGGGTCTCACTAGGCAGCTCAGACTCTGGTGCCACTCCTGCTTTCACCTCCCCCGCGCTGGGTTACGGATGTGCGCCACCACACCTAGACTCATTCACCGGCTCAGTGTGCCCCAAGGGCAGGGTTGGCACAGCCTGCGGGACCAGGATTCGAACCCTGGTCCCTGTGCTTGCCAGAGCAGGCACTTAGTCCACTGAGCTATCCTGTCAGGCCTAGGTCCTGTTTTGTCCACTGTGGGGATCACATGTTGCTTACCTGTCTACTGACCGATGGGTGCTTGTTCCTTCCAAATGTGGCTCTTTGTCAAATGAGTTCTACGATAATACTCATCACCTTCTCTCGGTGGTGGTGGCGGTACTTGGGATGGAACTCAGGACCTCGTGCATTCTAGGCAAGCGCTCTACCCCTGAGCTGCCTCTCCAACCCTCTAGTAATCCTTTATAAAATTATTTATAATTTATGGCTTACAAAAAAATCCACAGTGACTTCCCTTTAAATATAACTAGTATGCTTTACAACAGTATAATACAGAGCAAGAAAATTGGGACCAGGAGCAAGATGGGAGGTAAAATTAAATTTCAATGTCAGGCAGTAAATTGTCCAACAATGCATACAATTTAGATCTGAGCTTCCCAGCAACCAAAATAAAAGGGGCTACTTCAATTCTTAGGGGTCTAAATGGCGTTTTTAAGTTTGTGAAGTTTCACTATGACTAATTTTATTGGATCCTTTTTCCAGAATTTCTCTTGTGAAATTAAAATGCTTCCTCTTTAACGGTTTGGTGCATAGAGAGAAAAGAAATAAAAGCGATGGCACTAAATCTCAGCCCAGTAAGTTTGAGATTCACGAAGAATCTGGCTTGAATGGGCCTGCCAGACAGACCTGGCTGCTCTTCACGTTTCTTTCCCTAAGGGCACTGTGTCCCTGCTGACACAGTACCTCAGGGCCTCTCCATCCCTGAGCTGTAGGAGACATGCAAAAAAGAAAAGGAAAAAAAAAATTTCCTAGATGCTGCCAAGTCAAGTTCCCAGGGAAGAAAGAGGAACTGGAACAAGCATTTTCGGAGCTGGTGCCCCAGGACAGGCTCCATGCCAAGTCGCTTCATTCCCACAAAAATCCTGCAAGGTAGTAATTAGCAAGCCCATTTTACAGATGTGAAAACTGATACAGATGAGGAAAACTCTTTAAGAGGATTTTGAAAGAGTGGTGGAGGAGTGCTAGGCCTGGGCTTTGTCCCTTCCCAAGAGCTCCAGGACACGGCTCTCCCCGCTGTGACTGCGGTGACAAGTGCCCCTCTGGATTACTGGGACTGGCCTCAGCGGTCAGGTAAATTTAATGTGCTCACACTAAAGCAGGCCCTGTCCTGGCTTTGGGTTCTGGCCTGTAGGTGTGTTTATTACAGGACTGTTGCTTTTATTTGGGGCGTGTTTATATTCGGGGATTTGATGTGTTCACTTTTCTCTCGCAGGGAGAAAACACCCAGCACCTGCAACTTAAGTGAGGGGAGCTTTTAATTTGGCTTGTGGTTTTAGAAGATCCGGTCCATGGTCAGTCAGATACAAGGCAGAAGTAGCAGGATGGAAGAGCCTGTGGGAGCAAAGCCGCTCAACAAGAGGCAACCGGAAATGAGGGAAGGAGCCAGGGACAGGTTATAACCTGGCCACACCCAGGGGCAGGCCATACCCTTCCAGCCATGCCCAGGGGCAGGACACCCTTCTGGCCACGCTCCCAGGGGCAGGCCACACCCTTCCGGACACGCCCCAGGGGCAGGCCATATCCTTCCGGCCATGCCCCCTGGGGGGCCGGACAACCTTCTGGCCACACCCCAGGGGCAGGCCACACCCTTCCGGACACGCCCCAGGGGGCAGGACACACCCTTCCGGAACGCCCGACAACCTTCTGGCCACGCCCCAGGGGCAGGCCACACACCAAGGGCCCAGATGATATGCTAAGGGGTGTGGAGGTGTGGTCCTTGGAGGGTGCCCAGGGTCCACTGAGGCCATGAGGACAAGGTCTCTGTGATGCCATTAGTGGCTTTATTAGAGGGGGAAGACACAGGAGCTGGCGCACTTGCTGTGTCGTTGTGAGAGCTCCCCTACCCCACTGAGACGCAGCTCGAGGCCCTTGCCAGACGCTGAGCGGATGCATGGGAGAGACCAACCATGCTCTCGGACTTGCCGGCCTCCAGAGTCATGAGCCAAGTAACGTCTGTTCTGTATAAATTACCTTGTCTCAGGCGTTTCATGACAGCAACAAACAAGACAGCATGGTATTGAAGTGTGAGTAGACGTTTTCCAAAACACAAGCCAGGCAGAAAGGGCTTTGGAATGGCTTTTGGAGGAGATGCCCAGTCTCCTCGCTATTGGAGGACTGAGCTAGCAGAAGCCCATTTTTTTTTTTTTTTCAGTCTTTATTTATTTATTTATTTTCCTGTTATGGCTTCCATCTAGATGTCCCCCCAAAGCCTCATGGACTCCCAGGTGGGGCTTTTCAGAGCTGACTGGATCTAGGATGTGTGGTCCTGGGATCAAGGGTGTAGGTCCCGGGTGTGGGCGGCACCACCCTGAAGTCTGGTGGCTTGAACAGAATGAGAGAAAAAGGGAAGGGGGCGGCAGCTGCTGCTGCCCTCTGCCTGCCAGGCCTGGGCTGCTTCCGCCCTGTCGTGCCGCTCTGCCTTGGAGTCAGCTACTGCGCGCTGAAACCCCAGCAAACAGGGAGCAGAAATAAGCCTTCCCGCCCTTCACTTGTTATCAGGTGTTTTGCCTCTGCATGGAGAAAAGTACAGACCTTCGGGGGGCTGGGGAGGCAGGGTCTCACGCCATAGTTCAGGCTGGCTTTGAACGCAGTAAGTAGCCCAAACTGGCGGCCAAGTCAGGACAGCACTCCTGCCGGGCGGCAGCTCCCCACCCCGTGCCCAGCAGAGAGCCAGTCCTCCAGAGGTTTCCATGTGCAGGCCACCCAGCGGGTATCACAAAGCTGTTTATTTTTCACCTGTAGAAAAAGTGGGTGCAGGGTGCAGAGGAGCCAGCCAGGCCCCTGGTGTGCGCACTGGGCCCACAGCAGCCCCAGGGCCCGGGTCTTTCCCAAGAGATGTGCCTGTCTGTCAACAGAACTGTGGTTTGCACCTGAAGGGCTGCTTCCAGGGCGTATGTGGCGTTACGTCTGGGCACTGCTGTCCAGCAGCGCTGAACTTGGAATATGCATGTCTGATTGGCCAAAAAAAAAAGTTTAAAATGACAAATTCCATGAAACTGGGGCAAGAACTGGCCTGTGCTTGGCATCTGGGTGCCCGGCTGCCCCTTTGAGTATATTTCTTTCTTTTTTTTTTTTTTTTTTGGGAACTGGGGATTGAACTCAGGCCCTCGTGCTTGCCAGGGAAGCGCTTATTCCACTGAGCCATCTCTCCAGCCCCCTATGGCTGCCCCTCTGAAACTGTGCCTTTGCTTGGGCCTGTGGACAAAGCCCATCCCACAGGCAGAGAAGGGAACACTATTTAGCCTGTGCATTAAAAAAATAACAAGGTTTTCAACCAAACAGCTGAGTGACTGGACGAAATAGTTAGACATCAGATACATTAGCTGGCTGGGTCCCCCGGCTCTGTGCAATCACCTGGGCCTAAGGCTACAAACCAATACATGGCATTACGTGCTGCCTGAGTGGTGCAGAAGGGTGGCGGAACCCGGCAGCTGTGACTTAGCCCGGGGCTGCCCCTTGGCTGTGCTGTGGCCCTGCCTTCAGAACCAGTACTCGGACACAAAGATGTGCACGTTGACGATGTTTCTGTGGGAGACCACACCCCCGACCACGTAGTTCATTTCCAGCTTCAGGACAGCGTGGAACGGGCCCACAATGGGCCGCACCTGGCGCACAACACCTGCAGAGAGAACAGAAGGTGTGCTGGGGGCCGGGAGGACCGTGGCCACAGGGACGTCCAGGGATTGAGCTCCCCCCGGGAACCTCAGGGCTAGGAGGGGCCTTCTGTCGCAGGGGTGTAACCTGGGCCAGTGCTTGAAACCCTGGCCTAACATCCCCTTCCAAGTGGTAGCTCTGGGTTCTGCACACACCTCTGGGGACTGTCAGCAGGGCACTCACTACTGCCTGCCTACCATGCACAGAGAGGGAAGCAGTGAGGGGACTCTGGGGCATGCCAGATCCTGACCTTTTGGGGCCCAACTGTGTCCTCTACTACCTGCCACCTGCAAGAGCCTCACAAAGAGCAGGCATGGAACAGGTGCCCTGTAGACCCCTGCCTTGCCTTATGCCCCCCAGGGAGAAATGCAACTATGACCCTTCCCAGGACCTAAGGATCACAGGCCCTGAAGTCCTTCTTCAAGCTGGGGGTCCTGATTGCCCACAGGGCACACCCTGGGCCTTCTGCATCACACAGTCCCGGTGCCAGCATAGCACCTGGCACGTCATCAGCCCCAAATGTGCTTGACTGACTCCCTGCTCAGCAATTCACTCTCAGGAGCCACCAGGACCTGCCCACCGTGTTACAGGGACAAAGGACAGAGCACTGTTTTCAAAACTGGTGTAGAGAGGCTAGGATTAAAAAAGGGAGAGATTGTGCTCCAGTAGAAGTTTATGCAGAACCCACCAAGGCAAGAATGGAGGTGAGGCTTGAGGAAGGTGGGAAATCAGGATTGGCTTCCTGGAGGAAGTGTCCAAGCCTGCAGACCAGTGCCCTGTCAACCCAGAACTTGCAGCACCAAGACCACAAGTGGAGAAGCAGCCAGGCTGTTTGCTGAGGAACTGCTGATCCCAGGCCGATCTCTGCAAGTGGGACCACGGGCTATGGCAAGATGTGTGGGGGCATCCTGGCTTGGGCAGCAGGATCCTGGGCTTAAGCTTCGAGGGAGAGGGCTGCACAGGCTCTGCAGGTGACCAGTGCCCTTTCTCTGCCCACTGCCTGGCTTGCTGTCACAGCTTCACCTTGTCTGAAAACCCACAGGCATCTTCAGCTCCTAGCAAAAGACTAGGGCATTTTCCTGCTTTCCACAGACTGGGCTGCTTGTCTCAGACAGGGCGGGCTCCATGCTGAACCCACACGTGCACGTAGCCCTCCATATCTCACAGGACTCCTTGAGACTGACTAACTGATCCACCCATCCATCTATCCATC